AATATTTTATAAGCGACGATTTGACTAAAAAAATCTTGCACAAATATTAATCCTCAGACTATTCTTTATAGTAATTAGTATTATTATAAAATTAGCATCATGCTTCCTATATACAGTAGAAAACATTGAAATATTAACGAAATAATTTATAGTAAAATTATTCCTCGAATAAGTTGTAATTGAAATGTATTTATGTCCAAACTATTTCTGTGTTTCGTTGCGTACAGAAATAAGAAGAATTGTAGAAGCTTTCACAAATGTAATGCGTTGTTATTGTGTAGTGTAATCGCATGCAGCGGATCTTCTGCGCGCACGCACCCGTGCAGTAGTGGTGCAGCGATGAGTCACAATAAAGTGCGCGGCAGACGGCGCGGGCGCCGCACTTTACATGCAAAACCCATCACCGCCGCCGCACCGTCCTTACAATATTAGCGGACGAGCTAAAAATGTACGATACTATGTTGATACCTGCTTGTGATTCTTATGTCCGTGACGACGCCGCGCCTGCGCCGTGCGAGGCTCGTCCTCGCGTAGGCCGCAGCTACGTGTCCTGGCATTATGACCCGACACTTGTGCCATACACTCACTATTCTCGGATTCCTTCGGATGACGTCAGTCGGACTGTCCAACAACACATTTATGTTTAAATACCAAACAAAATATTAGAAATAGGTATTAGAACAGGCATGGAAACATTTCAGTAACAAATTCCCAGTAAATTGAACACATTGTCTTCCATCGGTTTTTACTGTAACGCAACGTATAGTAAACGATAGGACGTATCTCACGTAAGGAAACATCCTGAAATTTCCAAGTAAATAGCAATTAATCTTTAACTAATACTTAGCTATAGTCAGTCAAAACTACCAACAAGACGAAGTATTAATTGGAATACTCTCTCACTCTCTCAAGTCATATACCTGCGTATGTGTACATACTTACACATTGATACTGACCAATCATTGGATCAGTGGCAGCTCTACATTTTCCGCGTACTCACGTGTCCACCATTCCATGTTACCTTTAATTTGTATGTAATCGGTAATTACAAAGCATTGTCATTACTGACACAGTTTTGTCGCAACGATACTGTTTCAATACATACTGCGATATTAAGTAACGGAGTCACTGTGGCAAGACTATAATCTAGGCAACATTACGTGTTGCGGTGCAACGAGTACAAAGACACTCGTAGTACGTTGTAACAAGGTGCAAGTTGCAGTGGCACGCGTGTTGGTGGCGGCATGCGGCTGTGTTATAATTACGTGTCGTATCAGCAGTTACGGCGCACGGCTATCGATGCGATGTATCAAGCGGGCGCAGGCGCACTATCCGCTCACGAAATACCGTCGACACAATACAGTATCGCGTGTCGGCCCGATACCTCCTCCTAGTACGTGCTAACCCGCTAACCGATGTCCTACAACACTAACTACTTATATCTAACCTTCGCTTGCTATCTACTTCGCCAAGTCCTGTGCTTATCCTTAACCCATTAAGCGCCAAAATTAAACTAGCAGCATTTTAAATTCAAATTGTTAATTTTTTAATTATTAGTGACATAATTAAATATAAATGAAAGAAAATAGAAACGTTTTACTGTTTTGAAAAATTTTAAAAGGGTGTACTCGTATGAGTACACTGGTCACTTAGCGGTGAAAAATTTCAAAGCACTCTCTTTCTATACCCAAAGTCTTCAAGCAGGTTTTACATTGCCACCTAATTCTTGCATGACAAACGGCACAACGCAATTGTTTCTCAAGTTTCTTAGGGAAGTGGTCCAAGCCACTGTCCGCTAAACCTGGCACTGTTGAAGATGAGGGGCGACCTCTGCCTTTTGTTGCTTGACGCAAATAATACCTTGCAAGATTGCGTCTAAATAACAGCTGGTCCATGTGATCATCGTGGCTTAGAACAAATAAACGCCAGGCATTAGCTACAGCCATGTCTACAATATAGGTGTATAATACCCATCACCATTTTTTTCCATGAATAGCTATTCTGTACAGAGATATGGATTGGTCAAGTTCATCTACTCCACCCATTCCTTCATTATAATTTTGAAACAAACGAGGAATACCTACATCAACTTTATGACGCCTTATAGGACACTACCTCTTTACCACACCTAGTGGTTCAATCGTGTCGTAATTTGTTACCATCGTACAAACGCTGTTATCCTTCCATCTAACCAGCAATAACTCATTTGTTCTGTCGAATCGATAGTCATAAGCAGCTCGTTCTTCTTGTGATACCCAGAAAATATCAAAATACCAATAAATATTTTTCGTCCATTTGCATCTAACTGAAATGAATGCCTGTTATTTTGTCTCGCATGTAAATTGGTATTAGAAATAATGAGTTCAATGACTTCTTCATCAAATATTTTTTCAAATATCTGGGTAGGATTCAAATCTTTCAGTTCTTCTTTGACAACTTCACTTTTTCGATCTAATTCAGAAGTTTCTTTAGATGTTTTATAATACGTTGTTTTGCACTTATGCCATGATGGGATTCCTTCCTCTTGATCACGTCAAAGTCGCTTATTGGCTAACGGTTCATCATCACTGCTGCCATCATCATCTGATTTATTGTTATGTATGAACACTTCAATACTTCCGGGAACATCTCGAGGTAGTGAAGTCCCTAAGTCTTCATCAGGTCCTTCTTCTTCATCCGTCACCACGCTTGGAGGTGGAGGTATAATGGCCATATCGAAGTCGGCGTCACTTTATTAAAATTAACGACACAAGTCGGTTGTTCATTTTAACAAAGTAATTAACTTGTTCACGTTTTTCGTTTCACGTTCTAACTCGCTATTAATTATGTAATTATATATTTGATTTACGTTCCAGTAGTCTTTATTATCCCTAACCTGAAATTATCACCTACGCGTTTAATTACATTATGGTTGTAGGTACTTCTAATGGAAGTTGTCATATGTAAGCATAAATTTCCGATATAAAATTATCATTTAAAAAATTTACACGATGACTGTTTATTTAGTCTTTAGTACTCTTGTCAACGTGACTGTTCAGACCTACCAGAACTACTAGGAACTAAACAAAATTCATAGTTGTGTTTGTAAATATATAATACCCTGCATTCGGTTGAACTTGTAGTAGTAAAGTTGATGGTGTGCATTACCTCGTTCTCGTAGTACTGCACAAATGAAGTATATTTGTTTATTGAATGTAAGCGCGGCTACTTACGTCAATTTGTGTCCCGATACGACAGGCTGACGTCAAAATGTTGTTGTTCAAACATTATCTTGCAGCGCTGCGCATAACAATGTGGTACAACTTTATAAGTAAGATATCGTTTAATTGAGCATTTACCTCAATTACTTTAGATCCCTTCTCGCAATGACGAGGCCTGTATTGTAGCCCATTGAAGACGGCAATCAAACAAGAATAAGTTGCTGCTTACACCATCTATCTTAACTATTCTATAAGACTGTTCAAACGTGTATAATGTCAGTAGGAACACTAAAGGAGCACCCTCCCTCGGGAGACAAACATAAGGAGCGACCTTTTATCCTGACGTTAACATTGAATGAAACAAATACTTAATATACTATTCCAGTAAATAGACATAAACATATTTATTACTTTTTTCACAGTAACCCGACGCCGAACAAATAAATTAATTTAAATTAATTTATTATTGTTACCTAATACATAACCACGCCTGTGGAAAGGAAAAACTGTAGCTATATCCACTATTGTATGTATTTACTGCATACAGGATGGTTTGTTATTAGACAATAATCTCGTACGGGGTTGTAGAACAGATAATTTACAACATTTTTGTCGAACAATGAGATAGGCCGAAATGAAGTGTTAATTTCAAAATGATACTAAGCACTTGACCTAATTTTTTTTTCAAATATCTTACTTTACTAGTTTATTTACTAGATCTAATCATCAAATACACAATAAAAACATTATTTTAGACACAGTAATCCCAAATACATAGAACATAAAGAATTTTTTCTAAAATTGACGCTCAAATGTGCTTCTCTAACTTAAAAGTTTACTGTGACAATTGTTGTTGTGCAGTTTTTACGAAAAACATCTACATTAACATTACCTAACCTTCCACATGAGGTATACAACTTCAGCATACCTGGACTAATGACAACGATATTAGACAAACAATGGACCAAGGTAGTAAAATAATCAAGTTCAACTTACAAGTTTACTTTTGAAATCCCACATCTTCTACCCAAATGGTTATTAATTTCCTTATAATATTTAATTTTAAAATATAGATCACTTATGAATTTGAACGTCATGCCGATCACTGAACTTCAGTCCAAGTACTAGAGGAGTACATACTAATAAAAAAGTACTAGAGGTTGTTTTATCAGTTTTAGAGTTACCGTGGGCTTCATCTTGAAATTAACACTGAAAGTTAAATATTTTAATAACTGTTCATATCTGCCTACCCCTTTGTTTGACAAAAATGTTGGAAATGATCTGTTCTATGACCCTATACGAGTCGAATAACAAATCACCCTGTATACTACGGAATAGTACATAGGTATCTACCTACTAGGACAATTTACGTTATTACCAATTGAAAATTTAGTAATTGGCATTCCTAATAAGGATTGTTTGACTTTCCTAATCCGTTGTACACAGCTGTGATATTTACAGCCACGTGATAGACGTGGTAGGCTGGTAGCACCTTAATTGCGAACACGTAGTTACCTAGGCTCGTAGTCATGTAGCTTATTTAGAGGTATTTATGTGGTTGACCATGTTAATCTTAGATGAGATCGATAGGTATTTGAGGAGTACAATGCATAACTATTACCGTAAAAACCATAATTATGTGTCATACAGTATGAGAATTTTACTCAATCAAGTTGTCGTCATGTGATTGCGACGCATTAGCTGTCCTGGATCAGGGATTGACAATATTTTATCTAAGTACCTTATACATATTTTTGACAACAAATTGTTACATGTTATTAATGAGATACTATGTTACAGGTGTTCGTGTGATGCGCGCGCGCTGAGGCGCAGTTGCTCAGCATGTTCGGAGGCAGCGGCGGCGTGGGCGGCGGCTACAACGGCGGCGGCGGCGACTGCGCGGACGGGTACGGGCTCGGCTACGTGGCGGGCGGCGGCCGCCTGCAGCAGTACGCCGCGCACTTCGCGCCGCACCAGAACGTCTGGCACCACCACCACCCCACGCACCACGACACCTACGGTCAGTACGCTACCATACTACCACTGTTACTACGTGTGGAACTAGTGGCAACATCTGTTGAACTTGATCCCTTATACAAAGATAAGAAAAGGACCCTGTAGCAAACGCCAAGTTGCAGTTGTACCCAATTGGAATCTATCACTGGGAGATCTTAGTTATCATGTAACTTCATATGCAAACATACCCACCTAGGTAAGCAATCAGTTCCGCCCATGGTTGGCTAGCCTTTAGGGGGGGAGTCTCCGGGAACCTCATACACGTAACGAATCACAAGACAAGTCTAGCAGAGCCGCTAAATATTACATGTTACATTGCGTGCTAAATATACAATATTAATCGACGTTTATTGTCATAACAACAAATCAATTAGTACGCTGAGACAAATGGAGCGATGAGTGATGTGTCGATAAGCGACCGCTTTATAAATAACAAGTAAACTATGATGAGTCACTGCTTCGTATCGAACACAGATAACATTGGAATTCGCATGGAGCCGCGAGCAATCACTGCCTTTGTCTCGTTACTCGTGCGCGGTTACATTCATAGACGATACTTATAGAACTGTCAGAAATCAATCTGTAGGTTATAGCTAACCAAATCAAACGCATATGATACGTAACGAAATAGTTCTGCAGCGAATGTGGAAGGATTTAGAATTATTAAAGACAAATGAAACGAGAATGCTGGAATATTTGAGATACATCATGAGAAACTCCTAATACAGACTCTTTCAGATCAATCTTTGACCTCCGTCAATGGATGCACCGCAGTATCATTTCACTGTTATAAGCATTGCATGTATTCTAGAGTATACACGGTGGCCGTAAACATAATGATCGCCAACCTTCGCAAGAAGATCACATCATAAGCAAAAGAAGAAGACAACACTCTAACTTTAACTTTCGGTTACCTAAGACATAACTACGACCCTCAAACAAAATATGGGGACTATGGAAAACCCTCTTACAGGGTGGAGCCATTGTTCAGTAGTGCAACATAGTTTCCAGTTGGAAAACATGCACTATTGAATACATACACACTATTCAGCAACAGATGAAGACAATGTGTTAAAATGCATTTTAAAAAGATAGGTGTTCCCAACTGTGACTACACGACATGTGATGCTCATGTTCGCCTTGCGACGTGTGACAGTGGACACACGCACACATGCATAGATATAATGCTATGATACGGATGCTATTTTAATGTTTCTGTACCTATGACTAGTGTGAGCAGTTCCCTGAAAGTGTGAAGAGACAATGAAATTAGTCAAATGAAATGAGTGTCATAGTTAATTCTGTCTGAGCTAACAAACAACAAGGATAGGTACCTACTAACCACTACATATCATGAATATTCAGGGAAATTACAATTCAAATATTTCTTTCTTCACTTAGCTTCTTATTGTAATAAGGTGGCTTGTTCTTGTATCAGTATTTTGTGAGGTACTCCGGTGCCTCATCGGAACCCCGCGTTACAGATCAAGTAGGAAACAAAATAACACTTATATGTGTTTGAAATAATTGGGTACATGTACCAGTATCCTGCCCGGTAAATAAACACTCACTATCGCCGACACAATTATTATAACCACTTCGACTTCGATTAATATTATACTTTCTTCCTGAAAGCATAGAACATGAGACAACACCACAATTTTGTTGCTGTCTCACTCGCATGCCACTCTAAAACCACTAACAAACTTGTAATTCATACAAAACAAAACGTTATAGGAAAAAACTGAATAACAACTGTTACCAAGAATTTTCCCTATCAGCGAGTTAACAATAACTAAAATTCTATAATTAATGTCATAATTCCTAACTAGCGATTGACGCGAGAGGATAATTTGTTCAGTGATCCAAGATGGGATTTACCCGACTACAGAAGTAGCGGCGCGTGCCCCACGTACTCCCCAATCGAGGGCACCACACTCCACACTGTGAATGAAACTTAATTACTATGAACTTGATATTTCACAGTAATATCGTGTTTACAACTTGCTTCCCAGTAACTAATATCATTTTATTCCGCCTAATGAACTAAAATTATCTTTTCGTATGTATACATAAGGTATGTTACCTGTTATATGGGACGTATATAATTAAATTACATTTTTATCTTTACTTTACTTATATTTACGTGATTTTATAAATAGTAACAAAGGCCGGTGTACGCGTGTTGTATATTATATTCGTAGCTACTTGAGGAATTAACAAATGAATTATGAACAGAGATAAAATGGTAATTACAAAATATTCGATAGCGGCGTATTGTCAGATAGTTGGTTATCAGTAATATATTTAACATAATTGTGGTATCTTATCGCAGCCCCAGCCAGGGCCCTGTGTTTAAATAAATGATCGTTTCCATCATAGGTACCTAAATAATTACAAGTAATGTAGTTATTTTAGTTTCTTACAATATGACTGGTGACATAATGCGATGTCATATTTAGGTACATATGCTAGAGAGCGACAAAACAATTGTCCTGTATCACAAGGCGCTGCGTGCGTCCGCCACAATCAGTATTTGCGCGAAGTCTGTAACCGCAGAATGATTCAGTATCGTGAGCTTATTCCGATATGATTTTCCCCTATACAGGATAAACACTTGTTTTTGTTTGATCGGGAGCAGTCTGTGCCCCGAGGCAGGAGAGACAGCGATCTTATTTAAAGACGACATTGCATTGGCAAAGAAAAACAATTTTCCCATCAAGATTGGGGAAACCCTACATAGAGCCCTGCACAGTCGGCATGTCATGCATCATGGAACAATAGTCACTAATTTCAAATAAAAGGTGGAGTCTAAACCTGTACCCTTCGATCCTCCTAATAAGTGACATGAAATAATTATTGCCACCCTGAATATTTTCACAAGTGAAAGCTACACGAAGGCAAAACATAAGCATAAGGTGTAATATCGGGGAACTATTGCAGCTTTTTATTGTTTCAAGCGTTTGATACATAATAATATGTGTGTGTCTACGTATCAGAGGGATATTTTCGAATAAAGGGACAAACATAGACATGTACACTGTAGGTTTGTACTTGGTTCAATAATTGTAATCAACAACAAAACAGGAAAACAGGCGACATATAACATACGGTCCAAGCTGAAAGTTTATGAATTGACCAGTCAGTCACCGTAACCAGCAGAAGGTTGCCGTGAATCAGCGAAGATAAGCGCGTGCGGCGGGTGACACGGGGCGGCGCGCGCGCAGCACTCAGTCCTAGCGTGACCTCTGACCGCGCAGGTCGCGACACTCACCTCGCATCAATCACTGCCACTAAGTAATCAAGTGTTATCGAGCAACGTGTGCAACCGTATCTACTAGACAATGGACGCGATGCAACTGCCCGTCAACTGGTTACAAAACATGGCGCTGCTTGCAGGTCCGTCATGTCACGTCGTTTACTGTAACACCTAACATTAATGTATTTTACCTACTGATTGATTCGTGACGATATGCACTACAGAGTTCAACCTCGATTTGGAACTCCTCGTGATTTTTTTACGCATTGTGACGTGGGATCATTTACTTGGGATGTAAAACTTCCGTTTCTTTTCCTGTTTCAACCAGAAATGTTATCGGATCTTCATCCTCGGCAGTTCAAGACTGCATATTTCGATATATCGGCAGTCTAGTAGACCGCTGAAGCAATGTATTGGCGGTGATGTGTAAACAGTGTTGTTGTTGTGCAGCGGGCGGCGGCGCAGTGAGCGGCGTGGGCAGCGTGGCGGGCGGCCTGTACTCGCAGAACATGGTGATGGGCTCCTGGTGCGCGCCCTACGACGCGCTGCAGAGACCCACCGCATACGGTAACATACCTCTGACTACTGTATTTCGCCTTGTAGTTGCTCACAAAGTCATACTTAAAACACAATTCAGACTTTATCGGCTTCAAATGTAATCAAATGTCACTAATTGCACTAATATCATAGTTGTCATCCTTCATTTAATACTGTCTAATATATGTATGCTTTGATGTACTATCACCGCACAATGTAACATATTATTATGCTATTTATATATTGCGTGGATGTAGGAACTAAGATGTTTTTGTCAACAACCAGTTTTACACTAAGGAAACGTAACTTATAACTAGGTTTAGGGAAACACATGGGTAACATACCTCACAAACGATTATGTATAGGGAAACTAGTCAAAACGCTTATGTATTGTAATGATTATTATAATTCTTATCTCTTCTCCAGATTTTATTGGCGCTGGTTCTAATTTGTAAATATTATAGTTTTATACAACAGCCTAATTTCGACATGGGCTAAAAATAAAGCGTCATGGGGTACCCGTAACCGACGGCGTGTGACGTTTCGATGTTGATGAATCCTCAAAAGTTTTCAGTCGATAGTCAGTTGTTTTAATACTCACTTTAATAGAAAAAAGTAGGAAGGAAAACTACAATCACGATTATAATAGGAATCACACAAACCACCACTTGACCACAACAAGCAATCAGATATTTAATTATTTTAACGGCTTCATACACAACAAAATGTGTACATTTGGTGCGCTTAATGCCTTTCTCCAGACATCAGATTATTGCAGAAGCATTAAAAAAATATACGTGGGTACTGGGACCTGGCAAACTCAAGTAATTTATATTTGTAGTAGGTAAGCAAAAACATTGTTTCGTTTTCGTTTATTTGTTGTGTGTCTGTCCAACTGATAATGATTGTCTTCTGGACAAATAAGAGTAGTCAAGAAGTTTACCTACAATCAGTACTTATTAGCGAATTGTCACCTTTCAGAAGCCGTTAAAACAATAAAAATGTTTAACCGGTTTAATGTATATGTCAAGCAATTCTCTATCAAAGACTAAAGGATTCGATTTTGATTTTTGAAAATCTTCTTTCATAATTCTAATATCACTTGGTTTATCTCTATTATCCTTGATACGATAAGTACCAATTTTTTTTTTTAATAAAGCATAAGTAAGTCTTCTTACTTGTATGGGGTAGGTAGCTACTTACGGCCTATATTAGTGAATGCGATCAGCTTAGTTCATCACAGGAGACAATAACATGGAGGCTTGACGTCAGAGCGGCCGATAACTCGCTGAATCACGCGCACCGAACCAGTACACACCCTGCATTTTATTACTAATCAGTCTCTATATAGGTAGGTATTTGTGATCTATTGACAAATATTACAAGGGAATCTCTGGGTAGGTTTCTCCAGGGCATTAATAGCGGCATAACACAAGCATACACAATTGTAGGAAAATGGTATTAGGTACTTGGGTAAGTTTGTTCAGAATTGTACTAAGCCTATATAGGAGTTTTCCTGATTTGGAATTACCGCGAAATTGGCTGCACCTTTATGTTGTTACCAAATAAGTACCGTTTTATTTGTTTGTGTGTATCATAATACGCTGCGTAGAGAGTTACAACGTTCATTCTGACGTATTCTGTTTTCCTTAATACATGTATAATAGACATTAAACATACCGAAGTAATTCCTTAGAGAAAGTTTCCGTAGCACGTAGCATACGGGTGTCAGAAATAACGGAGGTCATTTTTAATAATTAATAATGTTTAACCGGCTTCAAAAAAGGAGGAGGTTCTCAGTTTGACCTGTATGTGTGTTTGTACACAATTATCTCGCAATTGGCTGTATCAAGTTTGCAGCGGTTTTTATAGAAAAATGTCTGCTACACTTAGTAGAAGGTTTTAGTATATTAATTAACCGACTTAAAAAAAGGAGGAGGGGCTGATGTCGGATTTAAAATTAAAATTATCCCGTCTTGCTTTGTTGTAAGAAGCATAAACAAGTCATGTCACCTATAGTCTATGGTTATAGGTAGTTTGTAGAATAGGTGTCGTAGATACTTACAGATTACTGACAACAGCCGTCTTACATCTAACTAGTCACGTAATGTAGATCTCTGTATAACAATTAGAATGAATCCTATGTTCAGGTTCCATGAATAGATGTAACAAGGGATCATGCGTAGCGGTGCAGCGGCTACAGCTACGAGCGTAGCACGTTTAACTTATAACGTAACTTATTTTTTGAAAACAGTTATAATTGCAATCCTTGTACTTATAATTACTTATTGCATATTTTTTACCTACTATACTATACTGTTCGGTTATACTTGTATCTTTTCGTAATTGATTACAATGACAGCCGTAGATTATATACGGAATTGGTAAATATTTAGCGATTCTGTTTACGCAAGCATTTAATTGGTGAGTGTAGTGAATTATCGAATGAACAACAAGTCGTGCTCAATTAGCGTCGCGCAGTAAACGAATGTATCAGGGTTAGCGCACAGATGTGAGGGCTGCGGCCTTATCACCGGATAATGATAACGCCGATGTTCGCGGCCGCGGCGGACCCGCCTAATAACTGTTACTGTACTCTGTAGGTACATACTCCGCGGCGACACAGCACTTGTTATTGGGGACCGATACCTGTGTCCGTATACCTGCTTCTTTCTCTAGTTTATAGACTATACTCATGGACAGAGCAAATTAGTATATCAAAAAGGTAGCAATTCAAAGTATTTTAAAGACATTCAAGTGATGATCGTAGAAGTGTTCTCCCAACCCCAATGTGCAATGTACCAGCTCATAAGTAGGTGCCGTCATCTCATGTTACATTGTAGTTAGATTTCCGTAGTTAGCGGGTCGCGGCGCGCGGTGCGGTATCAGGGTATCACTCACTATCGCTACAACTGTATTGTTATTGTTCCACCTTCTCAGAACCCGCGCCGCGGCCGACACTACACATACTTGATACAGCAGTAGGCACCCGCTATATGCCTATATGGCCGACGTGTGCCACCGTCTGACCTGCTTACGGGAACTGACTCTGATAGCCTCAGATAAAATTGTTAACATTGTCTTTTCCAGTATCTGTAGGAAGTGGATTACATTATAATATCTACTATTGTGTTTCTACTTACATAGCTTTTATTAGCCACTTATGTACCGCCTTTACATATCCTATTTAAGTGTTAAGCTTGCTGGTGAGTATAATGAGCTTGAGGTAGACGTGACGAGCTGACTACGTCACGTCGTAGGCGATGTCCCACTGACATGAGCGTGCGAACAGATGGAGTGCTGGAGATGTACGAGGAGGGGCGCGAGTGCGTCAACTGCGGTGCCAACAACACCCCGCTGTGGAGACGCGACGCCACGGGCCACTACCTGTGCAACGCGTGCGGCCTCTACCACAAGATCAACGGCGTCAACCGCCCGCTCGTGAAGCCGAGCAAGCGGCTGGTGAGTGCCTCACGACCATAGTAACGCGCTCTGTTTGCGAACAGGTGCCGACGCAGACCTACTCACCCGCTTCTATAAGGAGGGCACCGTGCAGAGATGGATGAGTGTGGAGGGCATGGCCAGGGGCATGAAGAAGGTGAGTCGGTGGCGTGTAGACTAGTGCATGCATCCTACCGCCCCGCGGTCGCCCCGCCGCGCGACGTCGCACGCACGCGGTTCCTTTAGATAACTCCTTACTTTTTGGGCTTTGGCGAGTGTTAGGAAACTACACGCTACCGCTCCCTACTTCAGGTGCCCCGCTTTGTAGCACTCCGCTTTCACCGTTGTTTTGTTCTTTACCCAATGTTACACCTCCCGAACCGACCACTGCTACCGTTATTGACGATGAAATTAGATACAGACAACGAGCCGAGATAACTAATCGATCGATAATTGCATGTGAGCATAGCGGCGTGGACGCGGGAGCAACCGGTACGACAGGGTGACGTCACGCCGTAACGAGCCGTGTCGCCGTCGCGCCGTCACAATGTTTAGATGTCGGGCGACTCGCCGACAGTTAAGGCGCAGATAGCGAGCGTGTGTTGGAGTCTAGCGGTGACAGTGTCGGCTAGTTATCTCGGGCGGCGCTGTGATAGGGACAGGTACTCGGCCAATGAGCGGCGGCTCCGCCTGCGCCACGCGCTCCACGAGCGATGCAACTCGTGGCGCACGCTAAGTGCTATATCATGGTAAGCGCAAGATGGCGGGCCGCCCAGTCTCACCGAGGACACTGCCGACCAGACACACTGGACGAGTACCTAGTTGCTACACTACACCTATCGCTTGTTGCCCTTACGTAGTTGGTCGCGGTTGTGGTGAATGTCAGTCTTGCATGTAAAATTTCTTAGTCTTTTTTCTTTCCTTGGTTTTGGTGCTCTCCTTACAGATACCTATCTACTACCTATGTACATTCTATTAATTTTAAGTCATAGTCTTAACTTATTTGTAGGGGCCACAGTTTATAATTGTCTAATATCTTGTAAACAAACGGTGCCCCACATAGGTACATAGCCACATAATAGGTACCTAGTAAGTAATGTAAATGTAGACTATTATAAGTATTCTTTAATTTTTTTTTTAATTTACTTCAATGTAGATTGCAGATGTATCTATGTGTAGGTACCTACATAGAACGTACTTAAGTGTGGGTGGTACATGTATGTACATACCTACATTAATGAATTTTGTAGGTGCTTACTTATTGGGTGTAACAAGTTCTTAATTAAGTTTCGGACTGAGCAAGTAGCTACCTGCAATGAAGCTATCTAGCCTAATGAGGGTCATAAATATGTAAAACGTTCGACAAACACTGTTTATATCAAGGTCACCTGTAGTAGTGTTGTTATTCAGTGATCATCTATAATAGGTACTTACGTTATGTACAGGCACCAATATTTTAACAATGCGTCCTACATTGAACGAAAATAATTTACGAATGAACTCTCCTAAATTAGAACTCGTAGAATCTTTTGACTATGATATCTTCCTTTTTGTATGAGCACATACATAGGTAGTAGATATTGCATTATACATTATAGGCCAGTTTCAAACAGGCTAGATCAAGCTTCCTACTGGAGGCATTACTGAATAGATTATTGAAATTGGCCTGTAGCTGTTATGGTTTTGGTTTGCTTCGGTGACGGATGTTATATTATTTAGACGCTCTATAGAGTGTCATGTCGTGACCATGTTGTGTTTTGTGTGCAGTCCGCAGCGCGGCGTCACGGCCAGTGTTGCACCAACTGTGGCTCGCGCAACACCACGCTGTGGCGACGCAACAATGACGGGGAACCAGTCTGCAACGCGTGCGGACTTTACTACAAGCTGCACGGAATCAACCGGTGCGTACTTACTTATGTAGTGACTACTGATACTGAGCTAAACTATTTAAATAAGTGCCTTATTTATTATGTAGTGGATACTAATTTCTTATGTACTTTTCGCAGGCCCCTAGCTATGCGGAAAGATGGAATTCAGACGCGGAAGCGTAAACCGAAGAAGTCTGGCAACGGAGGCAAGCCTCCGCAGGATGCCAACAAGAAAGATGACCACAACTCTCCGGGGATGGACGGTATGTACCTACTATGTGCTAGTTGACTATGAGCTAAGTTTCTTAGGTACACTTTACTACAGACTCGGACATTAATTTGTGGATCATTCAAAGAATTCTTCCATCTGAGAATGGAACCCAGCACACGTTGCCATTTACCTCTTTCTCTTCTTTTGATCTAGTTTTGTTGTAAATCTATTACTGAACATAGAATTCGTATTTACAGACAGTAAACAAAGTCTCCCGGAGGTGCCGCTCCCGCTGACGCAGTCCATGTCCAGTCACGGCGCGTCCAAGCCGCGTGAGCACGCCACGCCCGAGACCTCGCCCCACGCGCACGCCGCGCACGCGCACGCGCTCGGACACTCGCAGGCGCACGCGCACGCGCAGGCCCAGCCCGGGCACGCGCACGCTCAGTACCCGCTGGGGCTGCCGGCCGCGCCCTTCCTGTCCAACCCGTCGCTGTTCAACATCAAGAGCGAGCCCAGCAATGCCAACGGCTACGAGTCCTACCCCACGCACTCCGGCCCGCACTACCACTCGCAGCAACACTATCTGCACGCGCTACAGGTTGGTACTTACTCTCTTCCACCATCATTTAGGTCACATGATGTGTAGTGTAGCATCTATTCCATTTATCTACCTAAAAATTTTGCTGTACTTAAAATGTTAATTTCCGTTTCCAGTATGGCCTCAGCAACAGCGAGGAGGAGGAAGGCAGTGGCTTCTTACACCAGCGCAATGTGACGGCGCACGCCAAGCTGATGGCGTCGACGTAGCAGCGCCGCGACGCGCGCTGAGTGCTCCCGCTGTCGCCACGACGGACTCGCGGAGGTCCGTCGGGGCTCACTGCTAACTAGCCGACACCTCGAAGTGGTTGTTCCCGCTGTGGACTAAAGCTGTGATCGAATTGTTCACTTGACGATTGTGATTACCGCGACCTTCGAGTGCCCGACAGATACCACAACTCGCTAGGTGTGGCGTCTTTCTCCTACTTACTTAGGAGATGGACTTACGGCAGTCTGGGTACATATGTTTACCCTGAGTCTATTAGTACCTATTTATCGAAACTAGCAATGTCAACTTCCATTAGTTAAAATAATCGACAAAGTAATGTAATAATTAGAATATTGTATTTGAGTTCCGACCAATCGAATGTACATACATAGTTTAGTTGTAACATTAAGTAGGTAAGCAGAGTAGTTTGTGTAACGTAATGCCGGAGGCCGCAGGTAGCGAGGCGAGGGCGGCCTGTACCTAGTCGCTGCGAGGCACCTTGCCATGCTGACTGACACGATGGTAACGCAAGTATTAACTATTTAAATATCTACTTTAACGTTCCATGACAATCGTAATCTCAAAAACTAGTCTAATGATTGTTTATTAGAAATGTTTCAGGAGTTGATACAGATACCGTTGATATTTTAGGGGATTGCTTTCAGGCCGGTACTGATCACTCCATAGTGCGTGGTGTAACGTGCTCTGAGGGTATCTCAGCTTGTAAATAAGGCCATTTAGATGTATAATTATGTTATTAGTCAATAAGTCAAACAGTATTCACATTATTTCACGTAAACATTGCTTCAACTTCGTATATTTCCCGCAGGCATTAGGAACTACCTGCAAGAATTTTTGTATTGTACATACATGTAAGAAATATTTGTGCGACCAGTCGATCGTATTACTTACAAGTAGGTACTTTTATCTTACACGTTTATATAAACTGAAATAATCAAGGGCAGGCGGTATAAGAAAAATAATTGTGAACAGAAAAATGGTTTCTCTCTTTCGCGACATTACATATCGGTGATACATTCGTGAGACATACTAAATAAATTATTGTTTTCGGTCTACTCACGTAATTACTTGACGTAAACGTAACTAGTTTCGAGCCATGCTAGAGGCTCATATTCATGAGCAGCATTTCGCGACCCGCGACGCGGCGACAGTCGCGCTGCTACAACTAAACTAGTCGAGTTCCTCGTCAAATAATTACGTGGGGTAAGCCGAAAACATAGAATTTATTGGTGATACGGTAATATTTCTTGGTACAAATCTTGAACATCATGAAATATTAATGTGTCGACTGTCGTGTTTGATGACTTGATCAAACTGTTTGTAAAGCCTGCCCTGATTACGTGACTACTAGCCAATTACTGCATGAAGTGAAGTGAGCACTAGTGAGGCAACCTGACACAATAATGTGACTTAGTTTAATTAAATAAGTTCGAATAAATGGCATTTACAATGTACATATTAGCTAGAAATTAAATATTCGAAATTTATATTAAAATTGTTTATTCTTTTATGGTTCAATGAACATTGTATCACAGAGTGTTTGGTATAATTATGTTAAATCTAAGTTAAGCCTTATAGAGACAATGTTTCCCACAGCCTGTACACAACTACCCATATTGTTTGGGAAAAGCTTTATATTAAAACAAATGAAATTAAGTAAAATTGGCGAAATAAATGTTTCTATACCTTAACACATCTCAACTTTGAAATAAATATAAACTAAAAACATGTGTACAAAAAGAAGTCTGTTGTATAATATATTACAAAATATATATAAGTGAGTGCACAACACTGGTTTTTTCTTTCTGCCTTGTTAGCTCGTAGACTCTTAGGAAAATTTCTTCAGAGCCTCCCCAGCGAGCCTGTAGTAACACCACTGCTCCGTATTGGTCAGGTTGACCGCACCCTTATGCTCATAGAAGGAGCGTGCCGGGTTCCATTCCAGGACGTGGAAATCAAGGCGGCTACACCCTGAAGATGATGCTTCCTAAAAGCAAAAATGGATTATATTCATACCTAATATGTTACATTTGAATTAAGTTTGGTTTCACATATTCACCTTAGCTACTGCTTCAAACAACCTCTTGCCAACCCCTAAGCGTCTCTGACTGGAGCGGACATATAAATCTTCAAGCATCATGGAACGTCCCTCCCATGTGGAATATGTAGGGAAGTACAGTGCATAGCCAACTATCGCCTCAGCTCCGGGACGCATCACCTCAGCTATCTTGCAGCGGAATGCAGGCGGCTGCCTCTCAAAACCATCATGTTCCAGATCTGAAATATTATTACAATAACCATAGTCAGACACTTAACAACTTTTTGTGTAATCAGGAATATTACATGTATATCATTGTGATTGTGAAGATTAAATGGGTAATACAATAGGTAATCAAATTGAATAAGTGTAACAATAACAATGTAGATGTGTGGGTATTCAAATATCAATCAGTTACTTTCGGTTTACCTACCAGTCACTGACATTTTAGGTCCTTCGGACATGTTTTCAAAATCAGCAAGTTCCTGGAAAAACAAAATTATCTAGGTTATGCTATTTAAAAATTATTTTAACAGAAGTAAGTAGGGAGGCCCCTTCATAGTTATAATTACGTAGCAATAAGTGCCTTCAGAACTAACACGGCCCATTCCCAACTTTCCGTTAATTTGGAGTCGCACATAACTTTATCCATTCTCCCTCATTTTCTTTTTTATTGTTATCAATTATCAATATTGATGTTTCATACTTACTTGGATCATCTCAGCGACCGCAGTCATGTCCTCTCTCTTTGCTTCCCGGATTTGTAATTCATCTTCTTTATATTTTTCAGCCATTTCGCTAAACTTAATGATAACCTAGTTTAAAGACTGATATGTGCTTACTGCTTGGGTAATTAGAAAATATACTTTTGAGGTTGTACAGTAACAGAGTACGATTTTCCTCCACTTGAGCAAAAAACTATAATGGTGCTAATACTGTTTGCGGGGTATTGATAATTTAATTAAACAAAACCATATAACTTTTCGGTGACAGTCAGCTGATTTCAAAAAGTAGTGGACAATTCATTGTCAAAGTCAAATTAATAAATTGTCAAACGGGGTTAGCAACCGTCAAAGTGGCGCTAGTGCTCGGTGAGTGGGCCCACGTATAAAAAGTATTGTAAGTACATAGACAACCTTATAAAAAATGAATTTTTAAGATGTTTATGACTTAGTAACAGCATAACGCTTCTTTGCCTTGATGTAGTAAGCTGCCTCACTGCCTTATTAAAACGTAACTTGTACTTTACGCCAATTGTAAACAATAAAAAAAAAACAATTTTGTTTAATTAACTGTAAGTATATTAATTAAATATAATACAAATGCTTAGTTTAAAGTAAATCAGATGACAATACAATGTTTTTACTTATAAGAAACTAATCCAGGGATGTGTTTAGTATAAAAATATTTTTATAACATTATAGTACAATATACTTAAACAGTAATATATATTTATAATATTTTTACAGTATAATATGTTAAAAGTAAATAATATTTCTCTAGTCTAATTGTGTTTAGGCTGACTATACTAAGTATTTACATTTGGATATATTCATTTCATGCAAGACTTGAGTTAATTGGAAGAATTGGTTTATAGTTATCTCATTTGTTCTAGTTATGTACCTAGATGTGTAAATATTGTAAATTGTTCAATACAAGTCATTACCTAATGGAGATTCTATCAGTCATTGTTGAATATTTAGGGCAAACTCTTTACTTGTGATGCTAACAAATTAAATTATTTGTGCAATTACTAAATAGTTTAGACACCAACAATTTCTCCTGTAAAATAACAGTTCCTGGGGGTTGCAGACTGTAGATGTGTCTTCAACATTGTTTTATTTTATAGAATATTGCTATTGTAGTATGGATGACAACTATTCAGATGTGATGTGAGTGTGATTGTGATATACTCTATACAGGTGTATGTGATGCATGTGTGTGTGTGTGTGTGTTAGACAGTGTTGTGTCAGTGTGGGTACTCGTGTCGCAGGAACTCCGCGGCGTACGAACTGCCCCACGTGCCGCCCACTACTGAACTAGACGACGCTGTAACATTATACACATACATTGAAATTATGAACAAATGTCGACTGTATTAACTTGTAGCATATTAACTAATACTTACATAATTGTGCGATAAGTTTTTGAGGGGTGATGGGTGTGGTGCGGGAGTCTGAACTTCGATCGTCTTTTGTATCGGCATCTACACAAACCATAAAATGAAAATATTCCAGATGTTTCCAGATCTGTGTCGCAGCATCCTATTATCCTAGTTACTTATTTTGAATAAGTAATGAGTTAGGTATGGAAAAGTTAATTAAGATTATTTTAATGAGACAAAAATGTATAAATAGACAATTAACATAAATTACAGACTATAAGAGTTAATAATTTCGCTTACGACGTCGTATAGCAAGCGTAAGAGCACATAGTAGAAAGTAGAGAGTGAATCGATAGTTACTCTGTCCGTTGGCGAGCGCGGCGGGCGCGTGGTGCGGCAGGGCGCGCTGTGCCTGCGCCTTGAGCAGTTTGCTCATGGTGTTGCGCGGCGTGGGCGGCGGCCGCTCCAGCGTGCGGCCGTGCGCGCACGACGCGTGCCGCTCCAACATGTAGCTGCCGGGAGTTGCTACGTTATATGTCGGCGTCGTACGGGACTCTCGAACTTACTGACTATTCTGAAAACCTACTACGACCTAGCTACTTATGTCCAGACCTAAGCCATACCTACCTATAAAATCGCCAAGTCGCGACGTGAATGAATTACAAACAAACACTTGGAATTTGCACATAAATTATCAACAAAACAATATTTGTCAATGACTTGTTACGTAAAGAGCACATGTAGTATGATATCGTGACGTAATCGAAGTTATTGGCCGATGTTTCTGTTGTCAGCGAAAAAGTCAGCTGGCAAACGTAACCTTGCAGCGTTATGTCAATTGTGTTGTGCTGATTTCGGATTTCGTAGTAAACACTACACATGCAATTCAGCAATGCTTCTATATTGTATCTTTTTATTTTGAAAATATTATTATGAATATGATTCAGAATATCAATCTCAGTGTAAACACACATGGCATAGATGAAATCAGCCTACATTAGTACATAACTATGTCATTCGATACATAATATATCGAGATACCCTTGAACATGCCTGCGAACGAGTAACGACGGAACAACGAACAGAGGCCTTAGTACGAGTTTGATTTACGTTTAAAGTATTCGAAACGATTACGCGTTTGGCAATCTGATTGGCCAGCGCCAATAAACGAACCAATTAGAGCGCCGAACGCGTACTCGTTACAATTACTTTAAGCGAAAGTAAAAGAAAACAACAAAAATTATACCCTTAATTTAGGCGTCAAAGTATTCGTCCGCATCACTATCACAGGGGAAAGTTCCCAGAAGACTGGCAGCATTGCCACGTTGAATGGCAATGCTTATTTTCTGTCCGAAGAAAAAGCCAGCCCTCTGGTCACGTGTAGAGTCGATTAGCCTACGGGCGATGTCTTTAAACACAGAGTGTGCACTGGGACCCCATGGCCCAAGTGTTTCGACCCCAAACGGCTCAAAACAGTAGTTACCCACTAGATTTGAATATTTACGCCGTTTGAGGGCCTCTGCCGCGGAAGCAGCCGCACCAACGCATGCAGCGGTGCTTAAAAGATGTGATGGCGCAAGGGTGTCTACACACGTCGCGTCCCACACCAAAGGCCTACCCATCTTCCAAGGCAGCAACGACATACCATCTGGTCTTTTGCCGTCATCACGTACCAAACCATTAGGTTCTAATACGGCTGGTACACCGGCTGAGGCAAGAGCACGACGAATGATGTCGTTGATGCTGGCATGGCGAGCTATGCGGCCTGCACTTCTGCAACAAGAAAGACCATGGTGTCCCAAGCCATCGACTCTTTCTCCACAGTGACAAGAATGCGGAGAAACACAAGGAGCACCTAAACGTAGGCATACAGCTAGGCGGAACGTTATGTCATCCAACATAGTACCTATGAAGGGTGACGGGAGTGCCTGAAGCCACAATCCTGATTCCCATTCTCCCACAGCCAATAAGCGAGCTCGCTCTGCAGTATTAGGAGACGAGTTGATTAAAGACTCACGAATAACACTGCACAGCGGCACGTCCCACTGTCTCTGAGAAGACGGGTGAACAGGTAAATCCGTAAGTGGGCAAGCCATTTTCCACGCTTCCACTGCATCAGTCAAACACGGCACCTCAAAACTGGTCAGTGACGAAGAAAGGGAGGAGGAGTTAGTACTTGATCTAATATCGAAACTTCCACCTGGTAATTATAGCTTTTATATGGACAACTTTATCACCTCAATATCTCTGTTGTCTGAAATAAAATCCTTTGGACACGATGCTACTGGAACCATCTGTGGTAACAGAGTAGAGAATGCGCCGCTAAAAGATCCTAAAGAAATGAAAAAAATTAAAAGAGGTTCATACAACCAAATCACAGACGTATCATCAGATATAACCTTAGTAAGATACAACGACAATAATATTGTAACAGTCGCGTCAACAGAATGTGGAGTGCAACCAACAGGCTAAGTAAAACGATGGTGTGATAAACAGAAAAAAGAACAGAACAGAAAAAACAAAAGTAAAGAACCAACGCTGTTTCATAAATTACAATAAATACATGGGGGCTGTGGATCGACTAGATCAAAATGTTGGCTGTTATAGAATCGGCATAAGGTTGAAGAGATGGTACTAGCAAGTACGTATGTTTCCACTCAACGTGAGCATAAATAATGCTTACCAGTTGTACAGGTCGCCGGTTGCAAAGGAGAAAGATCCTCACGACCTACTGTCTTTCACTAGATATGTGGTTCAGTCGTATTTTATGACAAAACCTGTGACGAATGATAGCACCGCATCTAACGGCTCGGTAACAAAAACAAAGTATGTTCCCGAATCTCCACTGGCTATAATAAAACGTCATGTTTTCCCTTTAAGCGCGCGTTTAGTTACAACGCAAAGCAGAGTGGATGCGGTTTGTGCCATAAAATACGACGAAGAAATGTGGCAAATGTGCAGTTGCTTTGCATGCTAAATGCTCAGTAGTATTTCATACAACCTCATAATTTTTAATATACATATTTTAATTAACATATTTTTTTGTAAACTTTTTTAAACTAATACTTATTAAGCTTTTATTTGGTCTCCTTTATGTTTATCTTTATAAAGTTAAAATACATTAATTGATGTTCCCTTTGATCCATTATTGGATCGGTATAGTAATTCAAAAGGTCTATGACCAATATTTTTTATTGTATATATGCTACTTTATAAAATATCATAAAGATAAACAAAATTATTTATTACATTAATTAAAAAAAATATATGAGAAATTATAGTGTTGGGAAGATATGGGTAGTACATTCGACAAAATTAACTCCTGACCTATTTCGACGGTAAATAGTTTGTCATCACATCATCACAAAGTATGTCAATGCTACGCTATTTGAATAGTAAGTAGTTAATAGTTTTGAAACTGGTGGCATGTAACAATGTCCGGGAACACGTGGATGGCAGTGATACCGACCGTCGTTCGAAGCGCTCGGGGCAGTAGGGGCAGCGGAAGAGATGGCGGCGCGGCTGCGCGGGCGGCGCGCCGGGCGCGTCGTGCGACTTGGCGTGCGCGGCGAGGTTGTACCGCTCGGAGAACCTCTTCCCGCAGACGGCGCACTCGTGGCGCTTCTCCCCGCTGTGCACGCGCTTGTGGCGCTTGAGGTGCGAGCGCGTCATGAGGGCCAGCCCGCACACGTCGCAGGCGTGCGGCTTCAGCCCCGAGTGGGACAACTTGTGCATCTTGAACGACGACGTGTGGATGAACGACTTGCCGCACAGGTCGCACTGCAACACGAACGATGTTCACTCCACCTGGACCACTTCCACTACGTCTCGCTACGACTGCACCTACCTGATAGTTCAACTTGCCAGTATGTATATTATTATGCCTCTGCAGCGCATTCTTGGACGGGAACAACTTATTGCACTCTTCACATTTCCAATCACTTATACCTGAAATTTAGCAGAGGAAGACATTACAATGTAGTATGAATGATTCAATTTTGTCAAATGTAAGTACTTTCCTAAATATAGAATCGCGCTATTCAATATGACGCAGTATTACGTTCTTAAAATGTTCTAAATATTTCTCGAGTCCCTTGTTATGAACAATACCAATTATACGAACAACAAACTTTAGAATGGAAAGGAATGAAGAGACAAAACAACAAACAAAATATGAGTATAAAAAATCGCGATAGAAAACTGTACAATGAAAATAATTGTAAGTTGAATGATACCTTTATGCAATGCGATATGTATGTCGCAGGCCCGCTTGTGCTTGTAGTGCGCCCCGCAGACCTCGCAGATGTAGGGCGGCTTCGACCCGTCGTGCTTCTGTTTGTGTTGCTCCAGGCGGGCTGAGACCACAAGTACACCTCCACATTCATTCCAATCTAATTAATTCTACCCAATAAGTATTCGCCTAACTTTACTCATAGGTATCGCATTGTATGAATTGGTTTTGATCTTGTCTATAAATAAATAGCTTCACCAGAGGACTGACCTACAGACTAAAATTTTTTCTTTAATATTTAAATATTTTACTTTGACAAAAGTGCCTTCTTGGTTGAATTGAAATAAATGATTTTGACTTTTATATTTCCTCCCTGTCTTATCCTTAAATACTCAAACCTCGGCCAATTTTAAGTTGCACTTAAGTATAGTTCTGTCACTACAAATTCTTTGTAAAACGATACAAGATCAGACCCTGAAATACAGTTACACTCTTTAAGGGACAGAGGTGTGACATAGAGGAAGAAATTTTTCCATGAAGTTTAGTATTTAAGGTGCATACAAAAAGTCAGAGCTCACCCAATGAAGAATATTTAGCATCACACTGGTCACACTGATGGATGACTTTTACTTTTTTACTTCGGGCCTGTGTTGTTTTCATTTTTGTCTTGACTGGTCGGCCAAGGAGTTTCTTTTTGACAGGTTGTGCATCATTGCTAAGGTCATCCACGGCTAAACTATAGTCTTCACAATTATCTATCTCCACTTTGAGACAGTTCCCGTAGCCATTGTTATACAGAGGACTTTGTGACCTGAAAACAGTGTTAGGTACTTGTATGTTCATTAAATCATTTTAAAAGGTTTGACCAGTACAAGAATCTTTCTAAATTAAAGATTTATTTTGTATACATACTCAATCAATATTTTTTTAACAAATAAAAGGTTGCTTTTTGACTATACTGTAATTTTACTTGTAATTAGGATTTGAAACAACACTGCTGTTTGCTTACCCTTCAGCAGAGTTCTCAATTTTGACCTCAGGCAGCACGGCGGCGGTGTCTTCCAGTGTGTGTACGGCCAACTTGTGTGTGGCGAGCGCGACCTCACCGCCCGACGACCCCTTCACTCCGCACTCATCACACCTCCAGCTGAAACAGGAAAACAACACAGGCACACTAGACAACTAGTTGGATCACTTTGCATCTATATTACACTGCAGTATCACTGGACAATTGCACTTAATATTCCCAATTCAATAAATCTAATGTCAGATGTCTAAAAACATGTAAGTTTCCACACTAATGCAATCCGGAGTCAATTTGAATAAATTGACTCCTCCAATTGGGGAATCCCAAAGAACATTGATTGATGTTTATCACTAACATACCAAACTCACAACTTTGGGAGATAAGTTGATTAAATTACCTGTCACTGTTAGCTTTACTTTTGCGTTTGTTTGAAGATACTTTTTTCTTTTTCTTTTCAAGTTTGTATCTCTTTCGTTTGCTCTGTGTCGCCAGCGGTTCGTCATCTGAATCATCCCCATCCAAATTGTCACATACATAGTCATCATCATCGTCATCACATTCGAACTCGGCTTTTACTGCGTTTAGCTTGACCGGTTGAGCTCCGTGTGGCTCAAACAATGGGTTCTTACTAATGATAGCTTCAAAAGTTTCTTTAAGCTTATAGTATTCTAACTCGGCCTGCTCAAGTACGTTGATGAGGTCGTAGCAAGTCTTGCACATGTACTTGGAGCAGGCCTGCAGGCTGTCCAGTTCAATCTGCGTATATTTGTGCAGGTAGGTGCTGACTTTAGCACCGGACGCGACAGTTCTCGTGGAGTAAATATCCACACAGTCGTGGCTGCGGGTCGCGCACGTTATACATTCCAACTGCTCGTGCTTCACCTGCACTTCAGTCTCGGTCTTAATATCCTCCATGTCTTGTTTCTTCTCGTTCTGCTCCACTTTATTATCGGAGTTCATTGTACTCGTTTCGGCCATTTCTATAACACATCCAATTTGTCCTCTGTAAAAATTATTGCTGTCCACTACTACATCACGTTTAACTATAAAAAATGTTGCTTGAAAGGATGATCAAATTTTCTAACATTACTTGTTTTTAGCAAGCCAATTAATATTTATTACAAAAGAAAAACAAAATGCATACAAGGCGAATGACATTTTCCAGCAAAGCTGAAGTTATTTTCCCGTTGACGTATGACAATACTAAATTGTCAAATGTCACTTTTGACAATAAAATTGACACATGTGAGACGATGGGAAGAAGAAAATTCTTTATACGCATCACCCTTACAGTGCTTGATAAGAAATTATTACAAAATCTTTTTTTGTAAAGTTCTCATTTTAATTATTATATTTTCGGCTTATTCACATAATTATTTGACGAAGAACTCGACTAGTTTCAAGCCGTGCTAGAGACTAATATTCATGAGCAGCATACCGCGAACCGCGACGCGCCGACTGTCGCGCTGCTAGGCTGCTACTGTTGAAAACATAATAATTAGTTTAGTATGTCTCACGAAAGTGCTTATTTTGTTTGCATATATAAGTATTACACAAATTACATATTTCTTCATGAATCGGGTTTTCCGGTTTTCCATTGCTTGGGGGTTGTAATGTTTTGCTTATAATTTTTTTAGTACATGTCAGTGCAACATACAACCAACCTGCCAGAATAATTATAATTATTGCAACATTGCTATTTTCAAAGATGGAGAGTGCCTGAAAATACTTTCTTCTTTGCATTACTTGATGGAATCCATAAACATGACTTATAATGACTAATGGAAGACAAATTAATAAGCATTGGGAGTCAAACCTGGAACTATAATACATCCTAGTCCACAAGATCAAGGACGTTAAAAAATTATCAACATCCTTGCACAAGACCAATGAGGCAGTCAAGATGCTTCTTTAATATGCCAACAGTATTAATGTCTGTATTAGGACTGTTTATTATATTTTAACAGTAGCAGCCCAATTAAGATATTTAATTTGTAATCATATTAATGTGACCATAGGTATTGTATGATGCACGTAGATATAAAGACCGCGAAGTGGGCATCGGGCCGTGGCGGGTCCCCACCCCCACGCGGCGTGCGCCCCGTCTGGCCGCGGCCGCGTCGTGAAGCGTGCAGCCCCAGTCTACTCACGACCTCACTGCCGGTGCCCCGCGCTACCACGCTCGACACCTGCGAACTCACGCGTAACGCAACCGTTTGCGTTCTCGGTGTGTACCTCTAAGTTTGAAGTATACTGAAACTACTTTACATCTGTGGATCTTAGGTTCTTCTTGTGAATCCGACTTATTAGTGAAGTTTAAGTAAAGTGACTCGTTTCAAGTTTGGTAAATAATTACCTGTTAAAGTAAAAATTGCACTGTTTCTTCACATTTTGAAACGCGTGTAAGTAAATTATAGCTTATGTATTTAGATAACTATCTATAGGACGCAAAGTCTAACTAGTTTGAGTATCTATCAAACAATTACAGATTGGATTACAATCTACTTAGATTGCGACTCAACCAGGTTCCAAGAAACAAAAACACGATAAGTTTGTAAAGTTTGTGCCTCGTTTTTCGACTGATCGCAAGGTGGACCGTTGTCGGGTTCGATTCTTGGTTGGGGCCTTCATTAGACTTTTTCGGACTATCCGCTATCCGTCCCGAAATGGGACTCAAAACTTAAGTACGATATATTTGCACTCCTACATAACTCTTCGGGGATCAAGAGGCGTGACTAAATTATGTTTAAAAACAGTTCCATATTTTTTATAACATCATAGTCTTTGAAAGAAAACTTTATATCACAGTTAAATACACAAATTCGTACAAGTATTAATATGTAGCGGTCTGACTACTGATGGTAAAAGCGATGTGAATGTATACTACCGTGGTGAAGTAGGTCGGTGCTGGAGTTGTCCTGTGTCCCCTTGGAGTCCGTTACGAATTGCGAGCAGTAGAAACAGACACGCTTGAGCAGCGGTGAGGGGGCATGCATCCGCACTACCCTAACTATACCTATGGTCACTGCATGCACCTTGCGACTTTTGCTAGTAACCATTAATGCTATATCTAATTTCAAAACTTGTCGTGTACGCGGATTCACAGGGCTCCCTTTTTCTACTATAGCTACCTCTCGATTTTGTGCAACATCTGTCTGTTACCCATTTTTGATGATATCATGTACTCGACGCGGTTTCAGATGACCTTAGCCTGTGGCTCCTTTTTCTAAACCTTGGCCACTCATTACCAAATCAGTCAAATCCTACTCCTCTCTGCCACCCCTGATTACTAACTATCTTAAACATTCCTGAGGGTCGGGCAGTAGCACACTTTTGGGTAACCTACTGCCATTAGCAAATCACTCGCCAAGCGTGAAGATTATTACCACACGAAGGGATGTCTTTTCAGTAGTTGTAATTGACACTTATCCGTACGATTGGTTAGCCAATTTTAAGGTCAAAACATGTTGTCCATAGGTACCTAATGCCCATTTGTTGTTTTACTTTAAACTACGAACATTTACTGTTCCAAGCACCAATTGTTATGAGACTTTCGAGTTCCATAGTTTCCGATTGCAACAAGATTGGGCTGTCTGAGTCATTATAGGTAATCAAGGTATAAAACTTATTCGTATGAAACTTATACATGTGAATGTTCAGGGTCATTTTACTTTATCATAACAAGTGGACTGTGAATATTTATTACATATTATTATGTATTACCAAATATTGTCCTGTAGAGGTATAGTACCTGACTATCATAATTTTATCAATCACATTCCCTTGTTGGTGGATTCACTGATAAAAGTGCAATCATATAATTTGCCTGAATTTATATTGTTTTCCAATAGCATCACGGGTCTTGTAATCTGTGGTAGGTGTAAATAAGCACGCTCATAGAAATACAAACATCTACTGGTATACGCCTCTAATTAAAATAAGACTGTAGTAGCAGATCATCGAGTACTCGAGAAGCAATGCCCATATTGATAAAACAGGATGTATAACTTATTTACGTTTTATGGTATTATCACAGTAGAGTAGACAATAGACGTACAGTTGTACAACTCTATGATAGTGGTTGGTAAAAACTGCAGCACCGTGACGCCTGACGGCGGCGCCCGCGCCGTACAACGGACAGACCCAGTTCGAACACACGCGTCACACACGCAGTGTTCAGTTAGGATAGGTTGAAGATAATCTGCAACATTTTAAGAGTATCAGAACAATAGAAAAAAAATTTGCTTATTCATACTAGTTCGGGGAAGCCTGTGTAACTGGAAAGTAGTCGTCAGTCGGACATCCCCGAAAGTTCGTTTTGTTTGTGGTATTAGTTATCATCAAACAATAAATGTCGATTGCTATGGCCTTGAATATTTTAGTTTGGTGGAATAACAAGACACGGTTACGGCGGCGTTATAGAAGTGCCACTTGTTGTATTATGTATAAGCTCTCAAGAATACCGCGCGATGTCGCGACCGCGTTGCGCATCGATGCCGCGTGGCGAGTGCCAGCCCGCGCGGAAACACTGTTACCTTAACTGACATGCTCATGCTGATATCATAAAGCAGACTTCTTACTACTACTAACTACTACTATAAATTAATCAATATACAGTGTTATGTAAATAAATCCTGTTCGCTTGATAGAGCTGTTGTCCATCCCGCCCCTCGTCATTCGATCGCCTGCACCCGCTCGTGTGTGACCTCCAACAGGTTTTATTATTGTCATGCTGTAAAGTTAAACTTTATTTGTAATTTGACCCTACACCCCTTGACATACATCATATCGGCGACTAGTGAGCAATAGAGGTTAGCCCCACGCTCCCTTATTGTGTTATGTTATGTATTGTTATCTTAATATCGCATAACGTTATGTTGTGAGAAGTAAAGAATACTTATGCTTACATAGGTATTCTTTACTTCTTCATTTCGGCAAATTCCATGTAAGACTAGCTCAGATGAATGCCGATATTGTCAGTATACATATGTGAGGACCATGTCAGACTTAAGATATTTGTTTTCTCTTGGTTTTGTTTTTTTTCTATTTTAGTATGTTCTGTTATTTGTTTGTTGCGTCAGGTATGTCTTTACATTATTCTCACATGTGTGTACAATATTGGAATATGTATCAGAGCAATGTAAAACAGACTTTTTTTAAAAGAGTAACGAATAGAGTTTCTTGCTCGTTCTTCTCCACTCGAATCGACATTTTAGAACGAGCGCCTAGCTTCACTGACGGACAGACTGACAGACTATTATATATCTCATATTTGTTGACGTTTCAAAAGTACCAAATTATGGTTTAATTGAAATAAATGCTTTTGAGTTTGAGTTTGAGTTTGATATTACTACAAGCGCATCGCATGTCCCAGTGACACAGTGAGTGTCACTAACAGTAACCCCCGTGTTCCCAGCTCACTCGACTGGCTGCATCATAGTGCACCACTGATAACAGATTCAATATTACGAGACTGCCGTAATAGTCCTATCTTGTCATAACAGTGCTTTCACACGACACGGGTCGAGAGAAGTGAATTAACCACAGCACTCCTACAAGACAAGCATCATAAATTGAGTAATTTCCACTAAACGCGCAACCAACTGCTCTTGATCCCCGCTATGGTTGTAGTAGATGTGTCAAAAAGTCAATTAGTTTCTATTTAATACAATTGCTTTCTCCTGATTTATCGATACAATTTCACCATGAAATGAGCAGTCGTAATCAGGCGGTAAACGATATTCGAATTCCGACGGCCATGTTTGATAGGAATTACAGGGAAGGGATAACACGCCGTCTATAAAGAGCCGATTAGAGCTATTAGGTACATGAGTACTACTTGTAATGTAGTAGGTGCGAGTGGCCCAAAACAATGTTCGCATCACATAACATGTAAATGTAGCAACGGTTGAAGAAAGCGAAATGTGCCAGCAATGGCTGCACTGATGCTGATGTTTTTTTCCGCTTTCTAAATAAAGCCCCGAGAGGTTCGGCTCGCGAACTGTATACATAATTTATATTTATTGTAAGCTGATGCCAGATAGCGATGGAACGCATTACGAAGTAGGATAACACTGTTATATCACACTGGTCTTGCAGATTATATGAAATAAAGTGACCATTTTACAGTTATTGTGTTACGATTAGGAGCATATTATCCCGATGTCTGTGTGGAATGCTCATTAAGCGGTCAGTTTTCTACAGCAAGCAGGTACTAAAGTAGATATTGTACTGTCACGCGTTAGAACATCATCAACTCGAAAGTGACTGCAGTCACCAGAAATTATTTGATCTTGTCTGTTACATGCATGAGTTTAATTGCCCGACTGATTGATATCACACAAAACATAATTACTTAGATTATAACATTTTCTTAAAAGAGAAATATAACCTACGCTAAATGAAAACTACAATAAAAATAATTTATTTGTGTGTGCGTACACACACACAAATAAATTATTTTTATTGTAGTAATTTATTTGTGTGTGCGTACACACACACAAATAAATTATTTTTATTGTAGTAATTTATTTGTGTGTGCGTACACACACACAAATAAATTATTTTTATTGTAGTAATTTATTTGTGTGTGCGTACACACACACAAATAAATTATTTTTATTGTAGTTTTCATTTAGCGTAGGTTATATTTGTGTGTATGTGTGTGTGTGTAGTAAAATTAGGAACATAATTAATATCTGTACGTAATTCACATTTTTTTGTAATCTGACATGATACCTTGTAGCGAATAGGAAGTAATACAATATTTCCTCCCAAACATAATATATGTATGTTATTATTATTGTCTAACTGTGTGTCCCTTGTATACAGCGTGTGTGCGGGGCTGCGGGCATGCCTCCGCAGCGGTAGCGGCAGCATGCGCGCGCTCACCCTGTGTCTCGCGCTGCTCTCACTGGCGCACCATGGCCAGGCTCAAGGTTCGTACCATTCTACTATTTGTATAGCACACACTTTCTACGAAGTTCTAGACTTGCACTGTTTTACGAAGGCCTCCTTTTTTCAAGGAGAGTAAGTAACTAAGGATAAAAACCCGATGATAAGTAGATATCGAGAAATTTGCTAAAGGATGAAGCCGCCCACCGTCGACCTTCAGACTTTAAGACATAGGTACTTAATTACCTATGTCCACATATAGGATGTTCTGTACATATTATTTAGCATTACCTCACTCGCCATCTTACGGTTACCAGTTTACTATCAGAATAACGGAATCGATTTGTTTTAAAATTGAAAAATAATTTTACTGCTGTTTAGTGCGAGCGCAGCCGCGTGAAATTATTTTTCCAACTTCCTATTTGGAAGAAAATTATTTAATCGTTTACGTAGTACTTACCAGTTGAAGAGTCCCCACCAGAGAATATACTGTAGATATTAAAGTAGATATATGTGGGTACTGATACTCGAAACTAAATACCTAATAAGAGTATTGCATATATATGTATCATGTATTGTGTGCACTTGTTTCACAATCAATGAATGAGCGGGCGACTAGCGCTTGCGCCGGCAAACCGATAGATAGATTGTTTTATTTTAACTGATCGCTTTGTGTACTTTATAGCATTAGTTACATTGCCTAATGTCAACTATTGATGAGAATTACGCGACAATGCTCTATACAATTCGGTAATTTGGAGCTATGTTACAGTACAACAAGTCGTTTGTCTGCCTCAGTGCGTAGTTAAAAGTTATTACCGGGTTTTGCTTTAACTAGTTAACTACATGTTACAAATGTGAAAATGTCAGGAAAATCAAAAAGAAATATCAATGTCTGTATCTAAAAACCAGTGTTACTCAATATTGCACGGTTTGGTTCAAGTATTGCTCGAAGACGAGTTCTCCAAATTATCCTTAGGAAACAAGTCGTTTGTTAGTTCGCTGCATACTTTTGCAATCACATTCTAATGTACCTACCTAGCTCGTCGAGGCGAGGTGTTCGCTTACAATACGAGTGCATACTGTTACTTTGAGAGTGTATGTATGAGATAAATGTACCTATACAAGTAAGTATCTGCCAACTAGCATTTCGGTCGGACTCTGTTCCCATGGTATTTATTTCCTAAGAAAATTGTATCATTACGTTTCTGACGGTAAAGTCACCATCAACAAAGCCACCTTCTGTACCTCGTCTCACCCTTCGCAGAATCAAAAATCGTAATGTTACAGCAATATTTGGTAATGTTTCCTAGTACTGTACAATATTCAGGCACAGTTCCAACAAATCAAAACATTGAGTGAGTGGTGTTACTCGTATTCATGCATAAGTTATTAGTGAAGTGTGTCAGACAAAGAAATCCCTGGCGTGCAAACGAGGCCGCTCAAACAAGTGCAGGGTTGTTGTTTTATTTGGCGAGGGGCGCGCGTTCGCTGACCGGCCCGCGACCCCGCGCCACCCGCGGCCACTACGGCTACGACGCGGCGTGATAAACTCCCGTAGCAACGTCGTAGCACTGCCGTAGCAACGTTCAGGACTACAATTACTGCACGTCATGTAACTCATTTATTTAATTGTATTATTTGTTACTACGTACTCGCATTCGCTACGAAATACAATGGTCCTTTCATTCATTATCATGATTTGTTCTGAAGAAAATCTTCATGAAACAAACTGGTGGATAATTGAACTTAAAATATGATTACTTGAGTATTACCCATGAGCATAGTGTAGATCACCATCACAGTAATAGAATTAGGTATCCGAGTTTAAAAGTTACGAATGAGCACTTTGTCTAAATTGATCGATTAGGAAGGAAAATATTAACCTCGCTCTTATAACGAAACTCATGAGTTGAATACACAAAGATAAGACGAATAGATTGAGTGAGGAATGATTTGAAAGAAAACATTTACAACTTAATGTCGTCTTACATTGGTGAATGAAAGAAGTAGGTAGACATGATTGTGGTGCAGAGTGTCGATCACAAGTAGTTTATATAAAGGCAATAGGAAGATAAAGTCATATCATGAAGATGTTTGTTAATATTTATCCTATAATGTGATTGTGTGGTGTACAATAAAGCATATATTATTATTATTATTATTTCATATATTTATTTAAAATTCTCTATAAATTACATTTTTAAATACTACTTACAAAAAAATAAAAACATAATATTTAAAAATATAAAAAATAGGAGCCGACCAGTAGCGGGAGCATGGTCCAAGCTACCGGTGGTTAGGGCTCCAGAGACAGAAACCTCCTCACGATACGTGCCGTTTCAAGGAGAACTGCCTTCTGTATCAGGCCCTTGGCCCAACTGCCTAACGCTAGCCTCCTAAGGTGGTTGTCGAGGCTATTAGGGATTAACCCATTGGCCGACACGACTATCGGCACAATGATAGCCGAATCTACATTCCACATGTCGACAACCTCGTGAGCCAAATCAAGATATTTGATTATTATTATTATGTTTAGCCCACAATTCAATAATTGGAGTGTCGTAGTACGGGCGTCTTCCTGGTTGTGTTATCGCTAATCTGTATCAGCAATGACTGGCTTGTGGTGTAGTGTCGCGTGCTGACCAGTCTGGTACTCCCTGCTGGCTGGGGTCAACGACCGCCACACTCAATGTTATTCCTTGCACTATTATTGTTAATTAATTATTACATTATAATACCTTACCATATAGATGGTTGGCAGGCCACAACTGTGCGCTTCTCACGTTGCATTCTGCCTCGCACAGCAAAACTGTGGAATGATTTGCTGTCGGCGGTATTTCCGAACCGATACGACCTTCAAACCTTCAAGAAAAGAGCGTATTCCTTTTTAAAAGGCCGGCAGCGCACCTGTGACTCCTCTGGGGTTGCGGTTGTCCATGGGCGGCGCTAATCGCTTACCATCAGGTGATCCGTCTGCTCGTTTGCCTCCTATTCCATAAAAAAAACATTATCATTCAAGTGAAACCCACCAATGATTTTGTTACCTTTTCTAATTGCCACGTATCACCAAGGTACCGATTGACCTATTCTGTCCAAAAGTGCGCGTCTATTATAGTGTTAACGTGTTTCAAAGTGATTTATATTAAAACTTAAAGTACCACCGAAAGTTACTTCTTTGATGGAGCTCGTTTGGGAGAAAGGCGTGAACCTTGAACACGACACACGACTGCACGAAACTGTTCCAACAGTTGTGATATACCGGGACAATGGCTAATTGTTATTGCGCCAGTAACAGTTAGTTTACTCCATGACAGTTACAGCAACAGCGTGCAGCGAACAGTTCCCCGCGGTGACTCAACACCGGATTCACGAACACACAATTTACGTAAATTAAAGGGTTTAACTTAATTGTTCCTGACTGTGTAAGTGTGTATGTCACTACCTCTGCTTATTATGGGCTATAAAAGTGAAGCATTTTTATCTATGCAACATCGCAACATTTCTATACAATTGTTAAAAGATTACACGAATAAAACTTCCAGCAGAGTAGACAGGTTTCAAAACATTTGTCATCCTTTAGTGTTAAATATTTTATTAGCTTTGATAAAATATCAATATCCTACGAAGCCTCATCCACTCGCACCGACTCATAGTAAACAGTAAAGACGGCAGTGGAGACAGTAAGTCACACCATTGCAGCCAGCGGGTAGTAGGCGAGCGGCCGATCAGTCTCGGTGGTCCATTGTTCATAGTCCGGGCCGCGACTTCCTCCTGTGTCACACTTTGTGAAGTAACGGCGACAAGACAAGCCACGGGAAATATCGCAACTCATTTCATGCTCGGAATTTGTTGAAACATTATGTAAACGTGTAATTAATCGTTTGTTCTACGGTCATTTGCTAAATATCTACTCGTAAATGTCATTTTGTAAGAGCATAGCGCTGATTGTAATTAATACTTGGCGTGATCTGAAGCCGTCACGCAATATTATATCGTAGATTGGTAAAACAAATGGTTGCTGAAACAATCGCGTTGTAACCGCTTTACTTCAGCACATGAGGCATGCGAGGTTTATTTACTTGCTTCAATTAAGTTCACAAAGTTCAGGCGAGTAGTATCGCAGGGCGTAAACGCTTCAACTATTAAATTTCTGTAGCGATTGAATCGTTTAATAATACTGAGATCGCACGCCATTCCGGTCAAAATTGGGGCAATGTTGTCGAAGCGTTCACTTGTTGTTGTGAGTCACGGGGACGGTGGAGGTGTTACTATAAAATGTAGGCTAATAAAGATATACAGTCTACATTTACTAAAAAGAATTCATATCCTTCCAATCTGATATTTATGTTAATTTTTATGAAAATGTGTGTAAGGAAAGCTGGAGACATGGCGCATGAGTTATGTGGACAACTAGAACTATAGTAGCTACATACTTAGGTACCTAGCGTATATTTATGTTGTAAAAATATTTTTGCATAAGTTACGTACCACGTAATAAGTACTTTCATGAGCCTCCCTCACTCAACTGCAAGTATAAACATCCACTCGCGTAAAGTGAATACACGCGAGGAATGTTCATAATTACCTATCTACCTAAACTTATACTTAGGTTGTTAGGTTACACAGATCGAATGGTTCCCGGTGGAATATAGTAGGACATTGAAATTTCGGTTATCACTATCGTAAATTCTCAGTTCATAAAGACAGTATGACGTATACTCGCTAAAAATGAGCCTCATAATACAAATGCTGAAAAAGACAGCTAATTAAAAAAACATTATGTTCGCAATATGTTAAATTAATTTAACAACTAACTGGTGAATACACCTTGATAAATAAAGCATCTATTTTTATTTATATCTGTGTATATCAATATCCTGTGAAATCCTAAATATTTATAGAACCAAGTTACTAAGTATTATTATTAATATTTTTTTATTTAACCCTTTTTGTACAAATGTATACAATGGCGAATGGCATTAGAGAATGCCATCACAATGCCAAAAGGTAGAGACCTTTTACATATTATGAAGTCAGACAA